AAAAATGGAGACAAGGGGGGAGATCTTAATTACCAGCGCTATCTTTGTTGGAATACGACGAGCAGTTGAAATGGGACCGATTTCATCAGCAAGCTCGGCAATGGTCTCACCATCTAAGTCCTTCTGGACTGCCTCATCCTCAAATGCATTCTCAGCCAAGTCAAGACTACCGCTCCGAGAAACAGAAGCAGAATTAGAGATTACATTTCGAAAACAATATTTACTGCTAAGTATCTGCAAGCAATGTCACCAGTGTAGCTTTTCGCGCCCTTTTTATGATGCTGATGAACGTAGATGAACGTGAGGCATATAATAAAAGCGAGGGCAAACACACATTTGCTGATTTCTGTTTATTTTTCGTCGGGGGTGAAGTTAATAAAAATCTTATTGACTCTTACATCAACAGCCGGCATGTTTATCATCTTTTCCCTTTTGTGAACAGCTGAGTATTTTTTTTCGCCAAACTCCATTTGTTCAAACTTGTGTTCTTTTTACGCCTACACTGGAGGATTAATATTTTACTTTGCGTTTTGTTTGAGACATTACTAAAATATTTACTACAGGTACATTTCCGCATGTGCTTAATCAAAACCTGTGTACACTTTTTGGAGGAAAGGGGGAAGGGGATGGACGGGGAAAGGTGGCGATAGGTTAATTAACAGGGGCACCCAAAGACAGTTTCCACCCCAATTCATTTAAAACACTTTTTAGGCTATCCAGAGTAAGTTCAGACCTCCAGAAATGCATTCTAAGCGGCGCTATAAAATTTATACCTGTTCGGTCGACGTCATCCTAGGAGAACTTGAGTCTTTTCGAGATTAAAAAATTGATCTCGAAATTGAATGCAAGTCGAGGATTTGTTAGTAAGCTACGTATACAGTGAGGAATCTGGAATAGTGAAATTCGGAATCCGGAATACAACTGTACTAAGGAAACTTTCTTGGAAGGGACAAGAGAACAGCTCTGGACGGTCATGTTGAAACGCAGACCATGCAGACTGCAGACTGCAGACTGTGCAGACTGAGTGTTATTTTTTTACTTGTACCTTAATTTTCTAGTAAAATTTTTACTATAGAGTGTTTTCACATGACGTCACGGCGGCCATATTGGTGTCCCAAAACAATGAAACGGCGGCCATGTTGGTGTCCCAAACCAATCCTGTGGGAGTTGAACACCTTTCTTATGCAAACGCTTTCTTTTGTTCCAATAAATTTGCGTAGATGCTGGCCACGTGAGTGAAAACACTCTATAGTTTCCCGCTTCCTCTCATTATGTGCACTGTGCATCACTATCATATGTGCACCGATGTGTACCTGCAAGGGTCACGGCTAAGAAATGGGAAAATCGTGGGCTCATGTTTACCGGAAGACGTAAAGGCAGTTTCACGCGCTTTTAGATGGGCCGCTTTCATGCAGGAGCAAGCACAATGGAGGAAGGTAAGCTGATTCTTTCTGTAATTGTATTATATTGCCACGATTATTTAAATCTTTTTTAGTAGAAGAAGTTTTTTCAGGTTAACTGACTTAAAATAAAACCCTTCCTACAATGGCTACGAGAGAGACATTTCCTCAATTTCGTTGATTGTTGATGATTGCCTTGTTTGGTTTCCCTCTGTAATTCAAACCGGTGACTTGCCGCCATTTCTTCAAATCTTACAGATACCGATGTCGTCGTTGTTAGCTCGGAATATCAAACCGAGACGTTTGAGAGATGGGCCTTGCTTTAAGATGTGTAAATAAATCAACGGTATATCTACCTTAGAAATATTCTGATTTCCTCGTATTTGGCGGTTCCGTAAACGTCAGAATTAAGAGGAGAAGGGCAGCAACTTTAACTTCTCACAGATAATATTCAATGAAAATTACGACAAAATATGCCTAAAATACACAGTGCATTCAAGCCCCCTCCACATCTTCGAGTTGTACAAATAATACATTTGTTACTAATGAACTATTTAGTTTGGGAACTGCATAAACAAGAACCATGATAGTCGGACAAGATTGTCGGTTTCAAACCACTACCACTTATTGGCGTGAATGCATGGAGCAAATACAATTGTCGATCCCCGAGTGAAAACCAGCCAAGAAGGACACTCTTGGGAATCGAATAAAAAAAATACGTAAACAAAAGTCTTAGCCGAATCTTCCGAGCTAACAACGATAACATCGGTATCTGTACTAGATTTGAAGAAATGACAGCAAATCACCGGTTTGAATTACAGAGTGAAACTAAAGACAATCATCAACAATCAAGGAAATTGAAAAAATGTCTCTCGTAGCCGTTGTAGGAAGCCGAAAAGGGTTTTATTTTAAGTCACTTAACCTGAACTGAAAAGCTTCTTCTACTTAAAAAAATTAAATAATCGTGGCAATATAATACAGTTACAGAAAGAAACAGCTTACCTTCCTCCATCGTGCTCGCTCCTGCAGGAAACTATAGTAAACATTTTACTAGAAAATTAAGATACAAGTAAAAAATTTAACATTCAGTCTGCACGGTCTGCACAGTCTGCAGTCTGCATGGTCTGCGTTTCAACATGACCGTCTCTGGAAGATAGGCTAAACCTTACCGTACCTTGTGGCACAAATTTTTTGTGGGAGTTTGTTTTTGCAGATGTAGCATGTATGTGAGGCAAGGAGTTTGGATATGATAATTTATTTGTTATATGACAAAGTATTAATTTTTACAATCAATCCTGGCTGACCTGCAGCTAGCTATATAAACTAACCGAGGCTGATCAGTATCACAAGTTCTAAATATTACAGATAACCCGATGCTGCTGGTAAAAAGAGCAATTAAAGGGACACAGTCGCCTATTGGGCCACACTGACCTGGACACTACTTTTCCCAGTTTGAAAAAGATTGAAATACCTCAACTCAAAATCAAATGTGCACATCAGATACATCTAGAAATTCCCTTGAATCTGGCCTAGTTTTTCATTCGATCCTCTATTTTTTTCCTGAAAACCTCTTTCTGACTCAGCAAACTTTTATGCATCCTAAACATTATTTTATCATAATTATTTGGTTAAGCACAGTATCCAAAGGAACATAAAAAGAGGAGGTGGAAAACGTGTAGGTGCTGGACGGGAGAAATCCCCTTCGTGTACCAAAATAACAAGAGAAATGAATCAATAACACTGCAGAGCAAATCGTCATTACAAATATTTGGAAAATTGATGGAGAAAGGTACAATCAAGCTGTCTCAACCTACTGATTCGTCAAATTCAGAAGTATTCGTCAATGTTTAGCTTTCCCTGGACAAGTGCATTGGTGAATTCTTGATGGCATATAAAAAAATGAGTGTTCTGATATGACTTAGAGTTTATAACTAAGATTTTGACTTGTAATTAGTTCAACTCCACAAGGTTTGTTTAGATATTCCGGATGCGCTTCTCACTCTCTGTTTCACGCGCATCTTGTGATGTGCAAAGCAGCTAAGAATTGGTATGTAATGCGCATGTGCATCAGCTGACTGTGTCCCTTTAAGTGGCCTTTTACATGGAGGGAGAATTCGTGCAAAGCATATTGTTATGGGTCAAATTTGTTTTCAGATTAATCTTGATTTAACTCTGGTTGATTCTCAATTTCCTTTGTCTCCTAGCCCCAAGAGACAAAGGAAATTGAGAATCAACCTGGGGGAGGGGAGTTGGGGTGAAAGCAAACCCAGGTGCTACATGTATGCAACACAATGTATGGAAGATCACTTGTGGAGTTGTATAGCTTGTGATTAACTGATCACAAATGCTTTGTTAGGTGGGTGCGAAGGCAGATAATATAATATACAGAATCCAAGTTCAAGAGTTCAATAAGAAGGTTGAACCTTTTTTATCTGAACTTATCATTGTGGGGTGCTATGAAAAAAAATTTGTGACGAGTTTGGAAGTGTGCCGACTTAAGTTGCCATTATTGTTCTGTTGTTTCTTTGTTAGATCAGGTAAGTCCAAATTTTGCTTAAGTACCTGTGTAAAAAAGATACTTTAAGAGAAGATAATAGATAAGAAATTTTCACTCCAAAGGTTCATTGTGGTTCTGGGGTAAAATTAGTTTTCTGGACTGCATTGTCACCTATTTTCTGGTGGCCAATCACAAGGAAACAAGCAAACATTTCAAGTAGCCTACATTTTTTTGTGATGTACCAGTGTTTATTTTTTGTTGTTGATCCCTCCTGTGGGCTTCATTCTCTTGTGATCTTGGCTGCATAAGGATTTTGAGAAATGCCAAAAATTAGTTTACAAAATTATATAAGTAGTATAATTATTATTATTGTTCCTTTCTGCTCAGTTTTTGAAATTGTTTCCAACATTTTTCACTCGTATCATTTTTCAACAAAGTTATGACTCACTTGATATGTATAAGTATTTGCCACTAAGCTCTTCTTTTATCGTTAAGTTATAAATAATTTCAACTGGAAGGTCAAGTAGCATTGCAAAGCACATAACAGGAAATGGAAAAACAAATTAACTCACAAGCAAATGCCTGCACTAGCCACGATATTTCGTGATGAATAACAAAATATTTGTTATGTTGAAAAATGTTGTGAGAAGAAAATGTAGGTAAGAATTACAAAAACTGATCAGAATGGAACAATTTTTCTTACTACTCAAATAATTTTTATATATTTTTTTGCATTTCTTGAACCCCTTCTGCAGTTGAGTTCAAACGAGAAGGAAGCCCAACGAGGGATAACAACAAAATTAATATATTCATCATAAAATAGCGACTACTAGGCTACAAGTATTTGCTTGTTTCCTTGTGAGTTGCTGCCAAAAAAAAAACATGACAACACCATTAATCTAACCCCAAATCCACACCGAACTGTTTGAGTGAAAGTTTACCATCCTTTATCTTATCTTTAAGTATCTCCTTGGTGAAAATCAACCAAAATTGGACTTACCTAATGCAACCATGAAACAGTCGTGCAATAATGGCGACTTATTAAGTTAGCACTTGCAAGCTTGTCAAAAATTTATTCATGGGGCCAGCACAACAATGATTACAGAGTGATATAAAAAAGCAGTTCAACCTTCTTACAGAACTCTTGAACTTGGATTATGAAAATTATCAGCCTTCATACCCACCTAAGGACACTTTTGTGATCAATTAATCGCAAGCCATCTGACTCCTCAAGTGTAAAGCTAGCTGTACATCACATGTATATTCAAACAGTATTACATGTTGTTTTAAAGAAGGGATTCCAGGGATAGAACACAATCCAGTGGCATTACTCAGTTGGTAGCATTTGTGAATAATTTAATTAAAGGGAAAAGAATTAAGCCTCACTAAATGTGACAGCTACAGATCAGTGACCACTACTGGTTTTTCAATGAGAATATTTTTCTTGACTACAGATGCTCTGAAAGTTAAAATCAAATCTAGCAAAAATAATTGATTTCTATATTATTTCACCCAGAAACTTGAGAAAAGACTAAAAGTGGTTACAGAAGATGAGAAGATGCCAGTCTTAGAAGCCCTACATTCAGCCTTGATTTCGTCCGATGAGTCAGATGAGGAGGGTTCTCAGAACAACGCCCCTAGAGTGGAGATCAGAGGAGGTTTCCATGTTTTTTTCACAATTTGGACTCTCCCTATAGAAGAAGTATGTCCAACCAGCAAAAAAGGCAATCTGTTAACAGAAGGGTTGGTCCTCCAAGTACAAGAGGCCGTGATGAAGTTCCTGAGTCATTGCTGTGGGCCATTAAAATTAATTGTAGTTCTTTTCATTTTTTTAATGCTTGATAACCGTGGAGCGTCAATACATTTTTAAAAGTAAGTCAGGGAAAACCTTGTTTCAAGACTTATTTCAGAACAAATATGGCACTTGAAATTTCTTTAACAGTGTGCTATTGCCATTTGGGGTTCCACTGGTCGACTTATATTTAACAATTTATTATTCCTCAAGCCCGAATGGGCTATTGACTCAGAGGCCATGAGGGCGAGAGGAATAATTTATTGTTTTAGTAAAATCCAACTAGTTGGTCCAAAATATCGAGACAAAACAAGTTTAGCCAGCAAAAACATTGTTCAGCCGCCATTGTTTTGGTTTTCAAAGCCGGCGCTTTTCGCTACTAGTGGGCTATAACATATAGCCTAGTAGTAGCTCAGCCAATCAGAATGTGACATTGATAATAGACCACTAGTTGGATATTACCAATTAACTATATTCCAGGTGATTTTCACCAGCAAACCGAGAGAGTACTCATCCTTAAAGGAAATACACTCAAAATTCCACTCAGTACGAGCACACATGGACTTATTAAACTAAGGAGTGGATCAACTTCATTTTGACCTTGGAAACAGTATTGTTTTAAAGACAATGTGTGCTCGTATTGAATTGAATTTTGAGTATAAATATAAACTTTACTACAGAAAACAATTTGTATGCAAGTGGAATGTTGACTGAAATTACTCTGTACATGCCTTACTCGTTTCATAAGTTAGCATCGATATCTCCCGACTGTTCTTATTTGGATCAGTTGGTTATCAGTAGATATATTGTCAAGAGTGTTCTGAATTGTACCGACTATATTCATTTGATAACAGAATTTTGTGAATGTCTTATCTATGATTGAATGCATTTTTATAAATAGTAGTTTTAGTTTACTGTGGAGTGGTCATAATCAGTTAGAGGCATTCTGTACTGCAGACGATGAGTTGAGTTGCGGATAATAAAAGAGTTCAGAAGTACATTGAGAGCTTTTCATTACTTGTTTCCATTGAGGGATATCGGGGACAGACAGAATCGAAGTATTTATTTGTCGTTTAAAGCACCTATGGCGGGTGCCGGGAAAAACAAAACTACAACAACGAATGTTAAAATTTTGAACGAAAACACCAGTGAATAAAGGACTAAGTTACATTCCAGCATAAGATCACACTGGAAACGTAGAAGATGCGCGAAAATAAGCGCATTCGATACTGAAAACGGCGCGTTTTCCTGGAGAAAAAAGTTTTGAAGCGATGGAAAACATCTCATTAACCGATGGGTGAACGTTGGGGAACATGCTGTTTCCCGGCATTTTCTAGTTGTTCGCTGCCCCAGCAAACGCGAGAAAACTCACGCAGAATGACGGAAAAAGTCTGTGAATTCTTTGTTTTGCCACTTGAAAACACCAGAAAACACCAAAAAACGCGATGTTAAGTCACTGGAAAACTGCGGTGAACAACGGAATACGATCCGTTCCTCATGTGTTAACCGTATGTTTTCCGTGTCTTTTGCTTGTATTATCCGTGCGTTAACGGTCCGGTTAACACCAGTAAAACAAGCGTTTTCCTGGTGTTAACTGAGCCTGAAAACTATCGGATAATGGGACGAATACTCAAATTCACCGGCCAGAAAACGACGGGAAAAGAGTGGATTTCACGACAGGAAAACGCGAGAGAATTTTAGCAAAATGCCGCGTTTTCGAAAATTAACCGAGGGTTTTCTGAGACGGTGAATGCCATATTTCTTGCCGTGTATGTAAAACAGAGAGATTTTTGAAGTTCCTAAGTCTCGCTTTTTTAAAAGTTGAGATAGAATCGCAGTTGTCTGGATGGTGTATAGATATGTTACAGTATTAATTAAGTAGATTACCGAGTCATACGGAATTCTTTCTTATAATCCTCGAACAAACGCCTTAATTTTTCTTCCATCTGCGGCGTTTAATCGAGAAGATTCTGTACATCAAACGACAAAAACAACGGGCTAAACAGGTTTCAAAAATCCCGATTGCAACCCGTTTCAATTTAAACTTTTCTTCACTCTTGCCCCTCAGTGCCATTTTGCACTCGCGCCGCTCGCACCAGGCTTCGACAGATTCATAAATAATCATGACATTTACATGTGTATTGTGTGTATTCACTCTTGGTGCTTTCTAAAACGGCAGAAATTAAAGAAAAGCGAGGCATTTTTTTCCACGATTGTTTCATTGCGATACAGTCGTTGAAGAACCACTTTCTGAAAACAGCTCAGTGTCCAAGTTCACTGTCTTAAATTCTTGTTACAATTACTATGTGAGAAAATAGAACTAAAACTAGTGTGACAGAATTTTAAAACCTTAGCTTCAAAATAAGTTGACAATATTTCAATTCGCTAACTTAAATTTAGGTCAGTTAAATGTCTTGCTAAATTATCTGAACTAAACATATTTTTTCTGACAGTGACCGAGATGAGATTGGAAAAAGTTCGTGTAGATGGAGCAAACCAAATCTTTCTCCTTACTCTCACATTACTCTTAACTTCTTTGCCGTTAATTCCAAGAAAATTTACGTCAAATTCCCTTTTCTCCAAGGGTTCCTGGATTTCTCCGTTTACAATCATAGGCTCATCAGGAATACTGGGAATTTTCACTTCAATTCCGTGTTTGAGTAAAAGGTTATCATCTTCTTCAAATCCTACATTGTTTGGAACACCATCAAGCTCTACAATGTTTAGTAGAACGAGAAAAAAAGGGAAAAAACAAGGGAATGAGATTTGTTAATCAGCCCTAATAATAATAATAACAATAACGATAATAATAATAATAATAATAATAACAATGTTATTGTTATTATTATTGTTACTATTTTATTCAGCAATGATGATGATGATGATACTGAAAATGAGAATGAGAATGAGAATAACTCAAGTTAACTAGAGCATGGGTCTCCACTTATTCAGTTAAAAATTGGTGTGTGGGGTTGGGGGGGGGGTAGTCTTTCTTTCAAAGCTTTTGTGGTAGCAGCTCGAAACTTGGTCAGACAAGCACACTTTTATTTTTTGCCAATTTGGTTATGGGAATACTTTTACTTGTGTCCTTAACCTTTTTTTATTAGTTGCATAATTTTAGGGCCTTCAGGTATATTATTTAACATATTGTAAAGGAAAAGTGTGATTAAAGGAACCACTTGAAATGGGGGAACTGAGTACTAGTCAGAAAAGCCGTTTATCTAAAAAAGTAATTACATACAATAATAATAATAATAATAAGAAGAAGAAGAAGAAGAATAAGAATAATAATTTAATTCTTATATTGCGCGCTTTCCATGAAATGATCAAGCGCCCATTAGATAATATCTATCTATAATAACTTAATAAAGGGTATCTAACTACTAATTATTTAAAATATACTATGATAAAATTAAAATATACAACATATGTTAAAATACTAGTAATTATCATAATAAAAATTAAAAATTAATAAATTAATAAAAAGCTTCCCTAAAGAGGTGCGTTTTCATGCAGATGGCGCTTAAAAAACCCTAGATCTGTAATAGAACGAATCTCACGCGGTAATACATTCCAAAGTGCCGGAGCTGCGACCTAGCTAGAATGATCTGTCTCCTAATGTAACCCTGCTTCTATATTCAAATGTTGCCAAGCACAATTTGGTAGTTCTTTATATTGTAAGTTGTCTTGTAGCAATTAAGTTGGATAACTTCGAATCTAAACGGGCTGCCATTTTTGCTTAAAGATTTTTTGGGAGTCCGTGGTCGTAAGAGGTCATGTGACGTAATTTACATAATGTTCATGTGATGAAAAGTGTAATTTTCGAGAAATCTCATGTCTTGCACAATTCACAGCTTCATTACGAACGAACTCCTCAGTTTTCAGCGAAAATGACTTTTGATCCATGCATCTTTTTACTTGAGAATAAAAACGGTAATGGAAATATGGCTTATGAATTGACCGGGAGTTATATTTATTGCCTGGAAGGATTCGGAGCTTTTGGTATCTGATCTGACGTAAAGTAAAAAAAATTGGTGAAGAATTTTGTTTCTTAAAATGCTTGTTATGTGAAATTCGGTCTTAGAATGAGAATCATATCGATGATGATAAAAATGATGTTGCTGACGATGATAGTGATAATGATGATGATGATGATGATGATGATGATGATGATGATGAGGATGATGATGATGATGATGATGATGATGATGATGATGATGATGATGATGATAGTATACTGGATCAACAGAGCGTTGTTACCTGATAGAAGTCGGAACTCTTGGCAGGGATGTGAAACAAAAACACGTTTTTCATGTCACCGTACATGAAGTAGTCACTTTGCTCAGGAGATTCATGGTTGTCAAAATGTTCGTAACGTGGAACATCTATGATCTTCATTTTTGGACTCATAAACGGGTGGTTACTGTTATCAGAAGGCAACCCAATGAAACAGTCGAACTCCTCCAATTCACCAGAGTACCCTGTATCCTTGAAGAAGAAATCATGAAGTCTTTGCCGTTTGCTTCGGAAGACAATTGGTTTTCGGGCACCATTTTCCTTTAACAACTTCTTTTCTGTAGTGATGTACTTCTCGGCGTCCCTGTCGTGCATGAATTTTAACTTGACAATTGCTTCGTACTGCTTCTGCACTCTGTTAAAATCTCCAACATAACAGGCGATTACTTCGTTCTGTTCATTGACAACTCCCGTACTGACAAAGTTGTGGAGGGCAGTAGGATCAGTAACCTTGAATATAAAGCAGAGATGAAAATAGCAGTGTTGATCATAAATAATTGATGTGTTAACGGCATTCAACCTTTTAAAATCAAAGGTTTTTTGAAAAGTAAATTAGCCCTTACCCTTCCAATTGCGCACAAAATAGTGTTCCTCATGACAGATGACACGTGGTCCATGAAATCTAAAGATGTGACCCAGGGATCCATGCAAGTTGTTATGATATATTTGACTGGTGTGTCGTTGTTTGAGTTAAGCTGAATAGAAAAAAGAAAGAAAGAAAGACGTGTAGATTAGTGCATATTGCAGTTTAGACACGCGTAACTCTGCCTCACTTTTCATGGCTGTGGTCAAGAAAAACCATCAATAATTTTCAGTTATTTATATGGTCCTAGATATATCACGTGATCTTTTAAAATATAAATCGAATTTCGAAAAGGAAAGGGCATCGAGAAGGTTTCTCGTTATACCAGATTTCGATTCTTTTTGTTCTCTCTTACCCCTAATCTTGTCTTGAAATTTGTGGCTGCAACACTGTGGACGTGGGACACCATACTTGATGAGGTAACAAGCATTGGGATGCGAAACGCTGTATGTTCCCCTGATGTGTGAGTGAGCCTTTCGAATATCGCTGTGTTGATTGCATTGCACACTTCAACGCTTTGGTTTCCTTTCAGGTTTACAGCGAAACACGGTATCAAGGTATCAGGGCCCACTTCTTTTAGGTAAAGCATAGCTTTATCATCCTAAACGACAGACAAGATAAAACAGTACTTAACCTTGCTGCTGTACGTTTTATCAAAGAGTTGCCTCGCTGTCAATGATAAAGTGAAAAAAAATTGTCACCGCAAGCAAATTCAAAAGGTGACGTCAGTTAAAGTGCTATTGTTCCCTTTATAACAAAGGGCTTTAATAGCACCCGGAACGTCTGCTTTGATGAAACTTTCATTAGACCATTTTGGCTTGTAAGTTTTGTTTTCCCTATTCAGACCACGTGATGATGTTCGCCTGGGGATTTTCCTTTTTGTCTTTTCATACATTATGCATACATATGCACGTGGATGCACGTGCATCGGACGACGTTTGAAAGAAACAGTTCTCTCAGGTACGATCACGTGGTCTGCAATTGGAAAACAAAACATACAAGCTAAAAACGGTCTATTAATCAATGATCGTTTGGTCCTAAATTTCTCAAATCCGATTAGCTGGCAAAAGCCTGGTCGCACCTACACCTGTAACTGGTAATCAGTTAAGGTCGTGAAAGGCACTCAGATAGAGTTTCTTGCCTATTCCCTACATGTGTTTTGTCGTATGTTTTCTTAGAATAGGAATTAGTTGTCGGGAGTCATTCAACAGCAGAGTTATGTATAAAAGTTATTAACAGTAATTAGACTGACGTTATTGGGCTGTACAAAACCTCCTACTATTTAATTACTTTTGACTAATAACTCTGACTTGTAAAATACCACTTATGAAACGCCAGCGAGTGGTATATCGTGAAATATCCCACTAGTGACTTGATTTCAGATAAACAAGCTAAAAGATTTACCCGAGCAATTTCTTCGTTGCTTTTTGCGAGAATTCGTTCTCTGATGAAGGTAATATGATCCTCCTCTGACCAGTTAGTCAAACTGGGTAGAGGAATCGTCGTTTTGATGACAAAAATGTCGTCTTCTTTGGCCAGCGTTGCCCACTGACAGTACAGAATCTTTGCGTTGAACATGCACTCAGCCAGGATACGACCATAACCGTGTTTGTGAAGACCAATGACCTACGAAAGGAGGAAAACGATATTGAAGAACACTAAGTAAGCTTTATTCATCCTATAAGCAACTGGCAAGAACAATAGTTGACTAATCCCTCTTTTAAACATAAATTCTGTAGTACAAAAATTACGCTTTAATGGACTTTGATAAATTTTCGAATTGTTTACTGTTTCCGTTTCCAGCGGAACAACCAGACCTGAGGGTTAGAAAAAGGCTTCGCCACACATATTGAGGTTTTCGCATCCATATTGACAAATTTCGAGCTTACTTAGAATACGCATATCTGTGCATCACTGAAACCGAAAACCTTTGCCTCTTTCACCCTACGCATAGAATAACAACTGTGCTATAAGCATCAAGCTCACTTGTTTCCAGAAGAGATTGATTCAAATTCTATGGTTATTTTTTTTATGATGATATCACACATGAGCCAGAAAAATAACTTGGTGTTTTGTCGAAAAATAGTCGTAATAATTGGGCTGTCTTATATAGACTATTTTTTAATACATTACTAAAAGAAAAAGATTCATAAATGGTTACCCTGTTTGCCATCATGACCCCTACAGCAGCTGCCCCAGGTTTGGATCCTTCGATACCAAGATTATTAAGAAGCATGTTCCCATGCAAAAAGAGCGCCTTACTGGTGATTGACAGAAATGAATTCATCTTTCTGTCTCTATAACAGATTGCACCACCAGGATAAGGACAGAAGCCAGATTTGTGGGGATCAACAGTGATTGTATCACAATGGTGGAGAGCTGACAACTGTTCGTGGACGTAGGAACTCAGGTACATTTCTGGAACAAATCCTGTTTGTTTGGCTGTCGGCATAGGACTGCTCTCCGGCTGCGCGCGCAGCATACTACAGAAATATCCTCCCCAGGCTGCATCCGCGTGAATGCTGAAGTTCAGACCCTTCATATAAATAAAGACAAGGGTTTTTAAAATAGACAATTCTTCAAAGTAATACCTAATTTATGGCATAAATAGTTTAGGAAAGTGGTGCCAGGTAAAAAGGATCTATATAATTAATACATCGCCGAAAACGATTGATGATCTTAGTGATCACGATGAAGAAAGAAATGATGATTATGATGATGATGATGATGATGATGATGATGATGATGATGATGATGATGATGATGATGATGATGATGAGTACAATGGTTTTGACAGTGTAAGAAATTTCAGATATGAAGTCAGATATACTTCAAGTTATCCTTACCTTCATTCTAAACTTTTCGCGCGAATAGACAACTGCAGTCACTGGATCAACGGCGCCTTGCTCTGTTGTTCCTGTGACAGCTACTACCGTTATGACTGGAATCTCCTTATCCAATTTTTCTTGTAGAATGCGGTTCAAATCTAAAATTCCATAAAAGTAAATGTTATCTTTCAATGAAAAACAACTGTGATGATCGATTACAAGCAAAGAGTAAGTAATTGTAATTCACTTCCATATATAACTCACAAGTTGGTTCATACGCATTTTGTTAATGTTAACTAAATACACCCTACAGTTATTTGTTCTGTTTCCGTTTTCTGGTTTTTTGTTGTTGATTGTTGAAAAAAAAAAAAGAAAAGAAAAAGAAAATTGGTGTGTGTATGTATGTGAGTATGTGTGTGTGTGTGTGTGTGTGTGGGGGGGGGGGTTCTAGACAGAAACTGTTACAAACCAATAGGATCCATCCGCGAGTTTTCGTCAACTGCTACAGAAACAAGGCTCTCTCGACCAAGTCCAAGGATTGTGGCTGCTTTCGTCAAGGAAATGTGTAATGTGCTTGGAACAACAATGCATGGACTTTGTGTTAGCATATGTCGCCTTACAAACTCCTGCGTTCCAATGGACTCATAAAGGTACTTCGACATTATTTCCATAAATTCATGATGTTCGAGGCTTGCCAAAGCTTGTACATCTGAAGGCATTTGTAAGATAGTGTCGACATCAAGGTTAAGGAGTTCCCACTGTGAAGCGCTGATTAATTCTTCTTCTTTTCCTCTTTGAGGCAATAAAACCTGACCGGAGAAAAATAAAGTTAGAAAAATATATGGATCCGTCACTAAACACTCACTGACTGTTCACGAACAGGGACATGGTTAATTCTCTTAGCTTCTCTTTGCCAGGAAATAATAATTATAATATTATAACAAAAAAATCTCGATGTTTCTCTGTCTGAAGCGAGACAAACTTTGAGAGTCGAGGGAATCTAGACAAGATTTTTAAGCTGCAGAAAAAAACTAGTCGGGATCATGCTGTTTTTTAAAAAAGTATAATCATTTGTCGAAATCTTTATTTCAACAATTTAATATTCTCAATATTTAACAGATGAATAAATTTGTTGTTGAATGTCTAAAATATCAGTCCTCACAAAATCAACTTCCTGGAGCGTTAACCAATTTTTAATTTTAAGAAAAATAATGAAATCCATGATCATAACACTCGTTTATACAAACGTCTACATAAGCCCTTGGGTAAAACAAATGTACGATAATTTACTGTTGCAAACAAGGGGTTAGATATAATTTATAATAGCTTGACGGATGACATAAGAGATGGTCGGTCAAGTTATTCTTTTAAACTTTTTGAGAATATTCATCTGATGAGTGAAGAGGTAGAATGAAACAGTGATGCCGCATTTGTAATATTTTATTTATATATTCGATGTACGCACATATATAGTATTGATGATGTAAAACTTTATTTACTATAAGAGAAAAATGCAAGGGGTGACAGGCCGCACATCCATACCGGCGTGAAACCTTGTGTAAACCTTTCATATTTTAGCTCTAACGAGCATGTCCTTTAGGGATTTTCCTTTCTTGTAGGAAATGATAGGTGGTTCTTTGAAAATTTGGCGAAGTAACGGTTGGTGTAGTATAAGATTCCAGTTTTTCATTAAAACTTCTTTTAAAGTAGACACTGAGGGCTGGTACTGTGTCACGAAAGGCAATATTTCTTTTTCCTCTTCGTTGTTGTGTTTCAGGAGAGCAGACTCCCTCTCTGTGAACTTTATATCTGATAGAAGGTTTTCTATCATAGTTTGTGGGTAGCCTCTGTCAATCAAGCGTATTTTGAAATTTGAAATATTTTCCTCAAACGTAGTTTTTGAGGAGTTTGTTCGTAGGATTCTCAAGGCTTCTCCTTTGACAAATCCTTTTTTAACGCTCGGCGGGTGACAAGAGGTGAAATGTGTGTACTGGAAGGTTTCCGTTTTTTTAAAATGTGTCTTTACATCAAGGATAGATTTTTCCTTGAATCTTGTGCCTTTGTATACAATCGTGTCTAAAAACACAGTCTCAGTGTCAGATATTTCGGCCGTGAATTTGATAGTTGGGTGATGTAAGTTCGCTTGTTCGATGAATGCTTCGATGTCTGGTTTACTGATGTCCCATAGGGAAAAGATATCGTCAATGTAGCGTTTCCAAACTGTAGGTTTAAAAACGGTTCTGCTTAGAATTGTTGTTTCAATATGTGCCATGAAAATATTGGCAAAAGAAACTGCTGTCTTTGTACCCATTGCAGTGCCATGGGTTTGTAAGTAGTGTTTTCCATTGAACTGGAAAGAATTTTCTTTGAGGATTAGTCTAAGCATTTCCCTCAGGTAATGTGTAGGAATAGGAGGGTTGTCTTTGTAGAAGTTTTCATATGCTTTGCAGACAATTTCAATGCCCTCGTTTTGTGGTATATTTGTGTAAAGACTTGTGACGTCCATCGAGACAAGAAATGTTCGTTTTTTCACCTTTGTGTTTTCAATAAAATTTATAAAGTCGGTGGTATCTTTAAGGTATGATTTCTGTATTTTTGATATCGGTTGTAGTAATGTATCAACAAAAGAGGAAATTCTTTCTGTTGGACCATCGCAGCCGGAGATAATTGGTCTCCCTGTAATGGTTGGCTTGTGAATTTTCGTTAGAGTGTAGAACTCTGGTATTCTGGGTGGATTAGGTGTTTGAGATAACCATTTTCTTGTCATGTCATCAATATGATTTTCACGGTGAAGATCTGTAATTAGGCGCAAGACCTTGCTGTGCGTTTCTTTCACCATGGGTTGAGAGAGAGGTCTGTAGTTATGTTTGTCTTCGATTTGTATTTGACCCTCTCTTATTTTGTCGGTTTTGTTCATGACTACTGTAGTGCTCCCCTTGTCCGCTTTTTTAAGGTTGATGTCTGTGTTTTGCTTTAATTCTGTTAAAGCTTCGTGTTCCTTGCGTGACAAGTTATTTTTTGGCTTTGTTATTTTTATCTCTGCGAGTTGTGATTTAACTGCTTCCAGATAACTCTCGAGGGCTACTGATGGTTGAACCGGTGGGTTCCAGTCAGATTTAACGTAGAAAGGGTGAACTTCCCTATTTTCTCCGTGGAACATATATTTAAGGCGCATTCGCCTTGCAAAATTTTCAAAATCTCGTAGCAACTGTCGTCGTATTTTGTTTCTGTTAATAGATTTGTTGACTGGTATAAATTTGAGACCTCGAGAGATTAAACTAATTTGTGCGTCAGTTAATTTTCTGTTTGAGAGGTTCTTAATATATTTGCCCCCTTTAGTAGTTTGATAACTGACTTTTTTCTTGGAAGACTTTTTTCTCCTTTCTTTGCGTGTAGCGGTTTTCCTTTGTATTTTTCTAGAGAATGATTTCCCTGTAATTTTGTTTGACCCAACCACGGTGTCGTTCACACATTTAACAGACATTTGTGAGTACTTTTCACAATTTTTATTCTCTGTGTCACTATTAATTTTTGACAAAAGGTACTCGTATTGCTCTTTTAGTTTTGAAGCTAAAGCTTTGATTTCATCACGATCCTCTGTAGTAGATACGTTTACATTTTTGCTGTCCTTGCGGCCCTTACGGTTTGCCAAGGACATTTCCTTATGTAGTTTCTGTTTCTGTTTTTCTAGCCGACGGTAGTGAAACTTAGTTAAGGCTTCGACAAAACCGCGCTCGAATGCGCCTTAAATATATGTTCCACGGAGAAAATAGGGAAGTTCACCCTTTCTACGTTAAATCTGACTGGAACCCACCGGTTCAACCATCAGTAGCCCTCGAGAGTTATCTGGAAGCAGTTAAATCACAACTCGCAGAGATAAAAATAACAAAGCCAAAAAATAACTTGTCACGCAAGGAACACGAAGCTTTAACAGAATTAAAGCAAAACACAGACATCAACCTTAAAAAAGCGGACAAGGGGAGCACTACAGTAGTCATGAACAAAACCGACAAAATAAGAGAGGGTCAAATACAAATCGAAGACAAACATAACTACAGACCTCTCTCTCAACCCATGGTGAAAGAAACGCACAGCAAGGTCTTGCGCCTAATTACAGATCTTCACCGTGAAAATCATATTGATGACATGACAAGAAAATGGCTATCTCAAACACCTAATCCACCCAGAATACCAGAGTTCTACACTCTAACGAAAATTCACAAGCCAACCATTACAGGGAGACCAATTATCTCCGGCTGCGATGGTCCAACAGAAAGAATTTCCTCTTTTGTTGATACATTACTACAACCGATATCAAAAATACAGAAATCATACCTTAAAGATACCACCGACTTTATAAATTTTATTGAAAACACAAAGGTGAAAAAACGAACATTTCTTGTCTCGATGGACGTCACAAGTCTTTACACAAATATACCACAAAACGAGGGCATTGAAATTGTCTGCAAAGCATATGAAAACTTCTACAAAGACAACCCTCCTATTCCTACACATTACCTGAGGGAAATGCTTAGACTAATCCTCAAAGAAAATTCTTTCCAGTTCAATGGAAAACACTACTTACAAACCCATGGCACTGCAATGGGTACAAAGACAGCAGTTTCTTTTGCCAATATTTTCATGGCACATATTGAAACAACAATTCTAAGCAGAACCGTTTTTAAACCTACAGTTTGGAAACGCTACATTGACGATATCTTTTCCCTATGGGACATCAGTAAACCAGACATCGAAGCATTCATCGAACAAGCGAACTTACATCACCCAACTATCAAATTCACGGCCGAAATATCTGACACTGAGACTGTGTTTTTAGACACGATTGTATACAAAGGCACAAGATTCAAGGAAAAATCTATCCTTGATGTAAAGACACATTTTAAAAAACCGGAAACCTTCCAGTACACACATTTCACCTCTTGTCACCCGCCGAGCGTTAAAAAAGGATTTGTCAAAGGAGAAGCCTTGAGAATCCTACGAACAAACTCCTCAAAAACTACGTTTGAGGAAAATATTTCAAATTTCAAAATACGCTTGATTGACAGAGGCTACCCACAAACTATGATAGAAAACCTTCTATCATATATAAAGTTCACAGAGAGGGAGTCTGCTCTCCTGAAACACAACAACAAAGAGGAAAAAGAAATATTGCCTTTCGTGACACAGTACCAGCCCTCAGTGTCTACTTTAAAAGAAGTTTTAATGAAAAACTGGAATCTTATACTAAACCAACCGTTACTTCGCCAAATTTTCAAAGAACCACCTATCATTTCCTACAAGAAAGGAAAATCCCTAAAGGACATGCTCGTTAGAGCTAAAATATGAAAGGTTTACACAAGGTTTCACGCCGGTATGGATGTGCGGCCTGTCACCCCTTGCATTTTTCTCAGCCAAAATCGTCTATGTCATCATAATCAAATGAAATTGATGAAAACTGACAGGGAGTCTCCTCGATAAGACCAGAAAGGTTTCTGAGACTTCCTGTTCAATATTGTAATTATTTCTTAAGCACTATCAAAATATTGTAACCTTACATACAATGTTGAACAAATCAATAATAATAAAAAAATCAAACAAAAAAAATATGAATGGTTTCCAGTGAAAAGAACCTAAGTTATACAGTGTAAGTGGTTGTGATTTAAACGATGCAATATCTTTACGCCATGTGTACTCAATCCAGTTAATTTCATCGCAGATGTTTACTTGGCATATGAGAGTTATTTAAAGCAGAAACTCCATTAGTTTTCTTCTTTCTGGTCTTTGTGCCTTCTTAACACTCTCCACGGTAAGTAAATGTATTTATGCTCGGTGCGTTGGGAATTATGCGTGCGAATGGAGGTTACGTAATGCGTACCGCATTCAGGCGTGTTCATCACGCTTATTGTTGGGTTGTGTTTAAATAGGTTCACCACGTGTTGTGCTCTCACTTTAGGTCATTTCAGTGGCTATAATCGACCGCCTATAATCGACCGTCTCTTAATTTTTAGCTTGCTTATCATGTGTGATAAGGAAGGCGTGGAGGATCCCAAAGTTATCTCTGTTGGGTCTTTTGAAGACTTAAGGTCTTACTTTGATCAAAAATTTTCACATTCAAAGCGTGAGCTTTCTGATGATCAACTCAAATCGTCTTCATCCTTGGTGAAGAAATTAAACTTAAGACCGAAACGAGCTTAAGCTTCAAGTTTAGCGGCAACAAGAAGCAGTTCGATTAATACTGAGATTTTGGAACACGTCACTCATAGTCTTTCTTTTGTCGATTCGCTGAAATCTCTGGTCGATCTTGAAAACTCTGAGAATCATCAAGTTTCAGCGCTGATTCTTAAACTCGACGATTCCCTCAACGCTGCTTCAAAGGCCATAAAGCGAAGAAACAAGCTCATCAGAATAGCGGATAAATCGGAAGCTGGCTGGGCCGCAGTTGACGAGTATCTTTCTGACGAAGTCGCTTCCGGTTCTGAAGACGGGAAGAAGATCCGTGCTGCTGAGCAGAGAGCGTTGCGAAAGAAGAAGAACGCTCGCTGTGCGAAGTCGGGACAGAAGCTGAGTATTTTATTTGTTACTTTTATTCGTTTCCTTTGCCCGTTCTTTATTTTCTTTAGCGTTTAGGAGGTCGTATTATACCACTGCCGACCTATTCCTCCTATACAATAAATTCATTATTGTGTTTTGTATTTGCTTGTGTGTGTTTCATTATTACCGAGTTTAGAGCACAAATAAGTTATTTTCGGTACGCAGTTTAGAAAATAAATGTATTTATGCTCGGTGCGTTGGGAATTATGCGTGCGAATGGAGGTTACGTAATGCGTACCGCATTCAGGCGTGTTCATCACGCTTATTGTTGGGTTGTGTTTAAATAGGTTCACCACGTGTTGTGCTCTCACTTTAGGTCATTTCAGTGGCTATAATCGACCGTCACTTAGTTTCCTCTTTCTTCCTTTTTTCTTTACAGGTCATTCAGCGTCCAGAGACTTCCTCGGGGTTTTCATCGGCTGTCTCCTCTATCACTCCAAGAAATTTTACTAATTTTCGTCCTCAAATGTCGAAGGGCGCCTTTGTTAAAGGCCGTTATGACATCTGCTTCGCCTGCGGCAAGACCGGCCATTTGAGAGCAAGTTGCCCCAACTTATTCTTCACTGCCGGATCAACCTACAAACAGATCCAAAGTTTGTCAAGTAAAGACAGCGGTTCTTCTGGGCAGCAGTAGTTCCATTGCTGATAGTAAAGCAGTAAAAGAAACTCTTGAAGGTATTTTTGACGAAGGTCCAGCTTTAGAGGTGTGTTTTGAATTTGAGAATTCTCCCAATAGTATTGTATCGGTTAAGGGTAGGCTTAAAGCTCATTTTAGTTTTTGGGCGAACGCGTAAGGTGCAAATGATTTCATTCTCCAGGTTATTGACAAGGGGTATGCCATACCCTTTATTATATTTCCTCAGAATGCGTTTTTTGACAATAACCATTCAGCACTTATGCACGCTGATTTTGTTCTGAAGGCTATCCAAGAGCTTATTTTGTCAGGTTCAGTTGTTCAAGTATCTAGTCCTCCTCATGTTGTCAATCCCTTGTCTGTTTCCATACAGAGTTGCGGCAAGAAGAGGTTGTTTTAGACCTCAGGCATGCCAATAAACATATTTGAAAAGAAAAGTTTAAGTTTGAGGATATTAGAAACGCTTGTGTTTATCTTCCTTCTGATCATTTCATGTGTAAATTTGATCTCAATCTGGCTACCACCATATTTATATTTTGCAGTAACATCAAACTTTTTTAGGTTTTTCTTGGGTTGTTAGCCGTTCATACTATTTTCATTCCTTCAGTTAGGATTCTCAGTGTCGTACAGGTTATTGATTCAATTCGTTCTCTGTATCCTTCTAGTACTGCTAGAAAATTGGCTCAGTTTGTCGGTAAGATTATCTCAATGGGTTTCGTCTTTGGTAACATTACTCGTATTATGACAAGGTATTCTCATTTTGATATTTTTAGAAGCCCTACATGGGACGGGAAAAAATTTCCCTGTCGGTTTCAACTCTGAATGAATTATGTTTTTGGAAAGAGAACATTCCTTTCCTAAACAGTAGGCGCCTCTTGTCTACACAGTTCCGTTATTCCCGTGTGTGTTATTCCGATGCGAGTTCTACAGGCTGTGCCAATTATATGTTAGATCTTCACAACACCATATCTCACAAGTTGTGGGGTGTTGATGAGGCGCAGAAGAGCTCCTCTTACAGGGAACTTAAGGCTGTTTCCCTGGGTCTAGAATCTTTTTTGCCTTTACTTAAAGGGCACACTATTAAGTGGTATACTGATTATCAGAGTGTTGCTAGATTTGTTGAAGTAGGAAGCATGAAGGAAGATTTGCAATGCCTAGCTTTGCGTATTTTCAGTATGTGCTTGCTCAGTTGCATCACATTGGAAGTTGAATGGATTCCGAGATCGGCTAATGATAGAGCCGATTTTTTGAGCAGAATTGTGGATTATGATGATTGGCGGGTCAACAGGGACTATTTCCTTTTGGCCGAAGAGAAATGGGGTCCTCACTCTGTGGACCGGTTTGCGAGTCATGAGAATACGCAGTTGCCCCGTTTTAATAGCAGGTTTTGGTGCCCTGGTACAGAGGCGGTTGATGCCTTTTCTGTTTCTAGGGCGGGCGAGAATAATTGGCTCGTTCCACCTATTTTTCTCTTCCCCAAGGTCCTTAATCACATGGTTGCCCTTGGCGGTCGTGCTACACTTGTTGCTTCTGCTTGACCTTCCGCCCCATTTTGGCCTTTAATTTTTACCAACGAGGGTTTGTCTCCCATATTCTCTGATATTTTCGAGATCCCCTTAGGTACTGATGTTTTCGTTTTGGGTAATTATAAAATTCCCTTTTTGGATCACCTAATTTTCGTTCAGGTCTTTTGTTCTTGCGGTTTTCCTAGAAAGGCCTTAGTTAACCCACCCTTTTTTTTTTTCAGATTTGTAGGGGGTTTCTCTGCAGTTTATAGAGTTCTTACACTCATACCACATGGTATCCAAGTATTTTGGGATGCACTTGGATCCTTGTTTTGTGGACCACTTGGTCTGTTTTATTACGTAGGGGCCACTTTGGCCCTTAGTGGTAATGTTTTTCTGTGTTTTTCTTGGGACCACTTGGACCGAACCTTACCTTTTTTCACTACGTGTTGTATTTTTCTGATATATTTTTTCTTTGGTCATTTTTGTCATTTTATTTTCTCTATTTTTTGCTTCAGATGTTAAAGCAGCTGCCAGTCGGACGTTTGGTGTTTTACTTTGTGAGAAGTTTTGGCTCTCTGCCTTTAATTCTCGAGCTGATAACACAGTTATTAATTATTGTAAATCATTTTGTAAGTTTAAAGCGTGGTGCTTGCATAGCACTGGGGAGGTTTCTTTTCTTCCAGCTACTTCTTTCACAGTTTCCTTGTATTTGCATCATTTATTAGAAAATTCGTTAAGTAGTTCCACCATTTACGGCGTTTTTTACGCTATTAACTGGGTACATAAGTTATCAGTTTTTGAGAATCCCAATCCGTGTGACAACTTTCTTGTCAGGTCTATTGTTGAGGCTTCCAGTCGTGCTCCTCGTAAACCTGTCACGAAGGCGGAGCCCATTACCCCAGAGATCCTTGGCTTAATTTTGCAGCATTATGGTGAAAGTAGTAACTTACTTGATATCAGGTTTGTCTGTATGTGTTTACTCCCATATGCTGGCTTTTTCCGCATTTCCGAGCTTTTAAGCATTAGTAGATCTAATATTGTAACTGAAGGTCTTTATCATAAGATTTTCATAGAAGTTAGCAAGACTGATAAGTACAGAGAGGGTTCCTGGGTTTATATTGCCAAGACTGGCAATTTTACTTGCCCTTATACATACCTTATTAAGTACTTAGAAGCTGCCAGGATTCCTTGTTTTTCTCAGAATTTCATTATTTTTCAGATCCTTACGGTACGACAAGAATTTGAAGGGCAATTTCTTCACTTCAAAGCCTCTCACTGCTGGCAGGGCGGGAGAAATTCTTAAGGAGAAGTTGAAAGCTATTGGATTAGACCCTTCTAAGTTTAGTAATCACAGCTTTAGGTCCGGAGGAGCTACTTCCGCTGCTAATCAGAGTGTTCCAGAACGGCATTTCAAAGTTCACGGAAGGTGGAAGTCAGATTCAGCTAATGACGGCTATGTCCGCGATAAAGTCGACTCGCGTCTTTATGTTCCTTTACACATTAGAATTTAATTTATTCAATTTTTGTACGAGTGAGTTTAGATTCAGTTTGTATTTTTCCTATCATTTATACTTCTGTATCATGTAAGTTGTGTTTGTTAGGAGGTCGTATTATAGCACTGCCGACCTATTCCTCCTATACAATAAATTCATTATTGTGTTTTGTATTTGCTTGTGTGTGTTTCATTATTACCGAGTTTAGAGCATAAATAAGTTATTTTCGGTACGCAGTTTAGAAAATAATGTTCATTTGCCACGTCTGGCCAAACTGAAAATGGTATTTTCTTATATATATATAGTCTACCAAATCTATCCGTCCACATTATGCCTAAACAATGCAAGAGGTAAAGTGCATGGATAAATAAACCAGAACGTAAGTAAAACAGGGAAACGTACCTTGTAACTTTTGGCACCAGAAAGTCTTTTGTCCTTCAGCAAAGCTTCTTGTAGTCCCAGTGGAAAGTACTTCACATTTCTTCCCGCCCAAATTGCTTCAATGTTGGCTACAGACCCCCCAGCGGTGAGATGTCCCATACATCTGTCCCTGTCATACCCCACCATGACACACAGGTCTTTGCCCACCTCCATTTCGTATTTACTTGTGACAGGAGAGGATTCTGATGCGCAGTTGTTTTGGTTGTACAACATTGCAGACATGTAGCCAAGGTTAGCTGGCATCGCTGTCTCCCATTGAACGTGGCCCTTAGGAAAAGAAATACGGGTTGTTAGTTTGTATAATATAATCATAAACAAAGGCGTAGATGTAAAAGCTATATATCCTTTTAATATGAGGGCCAAAAGTTTAGAAGGGTCAATAGTTTGTTAGCCTTAGCCTATGGCTATTAAATGCTACAGGTTCTTTACTTATTTGTTATTATTATTATTATTATTATATTGGTAGTAGTAGTAGTAGTAGTAGTAGTAGTAGTAGTAGTAGTAGTAGTAGTAGTAGTAGTAGTAGTAGTAGTAGTAGTAGTAGTAGTAGTAGTAGTAGTAGTAGTAGTAGTAGTAGTAGTAGTAGTAGTAGTAGTAGTAGTAGTAGTAGTAGTAGTAGTAGTAGTAGTAGTAGTAGTAGTAGTAGCAGTAGTAGTAGTAGTAGTAGTAGTAGTAGTAGTAGTAGTAGTAGTAGTAGTAGTAGTAGTAGTAATAATAGTAATAAATTGCTTTATTTGCATGACCGCATCATTTTAGTAGTAGTAGTAGTAGTAGTAGTAGTAGTAGTAGTAGTAGTAGTAGTAGTAGTAGTAGTAGTAGTAGTAGTAGTAGTAGTAGTAGTAGTAGTAGTAGTAGTAATAGTAGTAGTAATAGTAATAGTAATAGTAATAAATTGCTTTATTTGCATGACCGCATCATTTTACAGTATTGCAAAAGCATGTATATGACAATCAAACTATAAAACAAAACAGCACTAATAATAATCTAGAAAAATTCGGTTACATTACTAACAATGAATCACGTATTTTCATGCAGGAGGAAACAAACTTCATAACTAACTTATTTACATGATGTTCCTTCGAATTCATTATCAGTTTTATGCTTTCTGGAGATGATTTCTTGTCAAATTCAGGTATTATTCGATTGATTTGATTAATAAATGCCTGTCTCTGTACTGAGTATTTGTTACATTGAAAGAGGAAATGAATCTCATCTTCTACCTGATTTGAGTTACATAAAGGACATAATCTATTTTCTCTTGGCAAATGATCGATTTGGTATCGACCATGTTCAATCATAAGTTTGTGATTACTTATTTTAAATTTAACAAAATTCTGTCGTTCGTCATAATGTCTTAGTTGGTAGAGATAATCAGATGTAGAATATTCATCTTTAAAAGTTTTATAAAATTCTAGTTTTTTTGAATTTTCGAGGCTGTGCCGCCAAAAAGATAGATATTTCTCTCTCATTTCTGTGGTATATCGTCTAATTTTATCATTATCTAGAGATTCAGCATCTAAACTGGTTAGATTGTATTGTTCAAGCATGTTTATGAAATTGGAAAAATATCCGGAATTATTCATAGAATGTAGATTCTTTGACATAAGGAAAGACTGTTTGACTATAGAGTCATTATCTTTGTTGTTGAGGTAAACAAAATATTTCATAATTTTCTGATTTATCGGGATAAGCAGCGGCAGTCTATCAAGTTCAGCTCTGCAGGCTATGTTAGAGGCCTTATTGTTAACCTCTAAGTAACGTTTACAGAATTTGAGGTGGATTTTTTCTATTGGGGAGCTATCCATTTTTTTAAAATCTTGCTTGGTGTACATTCCCCATACGTCGCTGTTGTAACTCAAGATTGGGAATACCATGGTGTCAAAAATTTGGGATGCAGTATTAGGATTAAGTTTGTTAAGAATTGTCCGCTTCCGAATACTAGAAAACGCGTGAAGGGCCTTTTCTTTTAAGTGTTCGAGTGCAAGTGTAAAGTTTCCCGTTGGAGTTAAACGTGTACCTAAATAAGTGTATTCTTGGACAATTTCAATTGACTCACTGCCTATGTTGAATTTGATGTCAATAGATTTTTTTGGGCGTTTCTGGAATATCATAATTTTTGTTTTCTTCGGATTAATTTTTAGCTTCCATTTGTCACAATACAAAGAAAGCGCATTTAAACAGTTCTGTAATCCAATTTTCGATCTTGATAGAATAACTAAATCATCTGCGTAGAAAAGTGAATTTATTTTTTTCCCATTTGGGAGAACAAATGGGTCAGATAAGGTGTTTTCGAATAAAAGTGGTAGATTGTTTAAATAGAGGTTAAATAAAAGAGGGTTTAAAATACAGCCTTGACGTACACCGCTGGAATATGAAAAAGGCTGTGTTTTGTTTTCACCGATTTTGATGGAACATGTCGAGTTGCAATAAAGACTTTTCATGAGGTTGTACAAGTTTCCCCCTATATTCGTTTTTAGCAGCTTATAAAACAATCCTTCGTGCCAAACAGAGTCAAACGCTTTGCGGAAATCTACGAAACAAGCGTAGACTTTTTCCTTGTGATAATGCACATATTTATCTATTAGGGTCCTTAGAGTGAAAACATGGTCTGCAGTGCGGTTTTCAGGCAAAAAGCCAATTTGGGAATTATGTAATATCTTATTTTCCTCAAAATACAAGTGAAGTCTTCGATTGAAAATAGAACAGAACAGTTTTCCAAGGCAACTAGAAACACATATGCCTCTGTAATTTGTTGGATCACTCTTGTCACCAGATTTGTAAATTGGGGTTATGAGGCCTTGACACCAAACATCTGGCATTTTTCCGGATTGTAAAATGAGGTTAAAAAGTTTGACATAGACAGGCATTAGTGGTTCGAGGCTTGCTTTGATCATTTCATTTCGTATTTTGTCAACAAATGGTGATTTCTTATTTTTCAATTTCTTCGCCGCTTGACGTATTTCCCTCTCAGTTATCTCATAATCGAGATGGTTAAACTGTTCCTTTTCGTGTTCTAAAGAATTTAGTTCCCTATGGATTTCATGTTCATGCGTGGAATTCGTCGGGTCAATAGAATGCAGAGATTTGAAATGGTGAAGCCATGAGTCTTCCGAGATTGGGGCAGGAACATTTTCGTTGAAAGTGTCGCTCATCGAATTTAAACAATTCCAAAATGACGCCTTGTCAGGATTTAGAGCTAGTTCGTCGAGTTGTAATGTTTTTTCTTTGTGGAATCCTCTCTTCTTTGTGTCTAGGAGCTTTTTGTAATCATTCAAGGCTTTGTGATATCTTTCCCGCACTTCGGAGTTCAGGGGGTCACGGTGCTTTTCATTTGAGACTTTTCGTAATTCATGCCTTTTCAAGCGACATTCACAGTCAAACCATTTCTTGTTGGATGATTTCTTAATACGCTTAGCTTTAATTTTTAGGCATAGCTTGGAGCTCTCAGTTAGAATTTTCATAGTGTTTTCTAAGGAGATATTCACATCTTCGGTGTTTGTCTCCATATATTGTCTAATTAGAATTTGGATTGGTTCCGTGCGCAGTGCGTTTTTGAAATTTAAGTGTGAGTCAACTTCCCAGCAAAATTGCCGTGGTAATTTTGATAATCTATTGCTACTATTTGGAGTGTGCATTTCGTCTCCAATTAACCTGGTGTTAAGATTGAGCCACGCCACGATGGCACTATGATCCGATAAATAAGATGGCTGTTTAACAAGAAAATTTGCAACGTTGAGAAATGTACACTGATCACATATTAGATAATCAATAACGCTCGTTCCGTTTTTTCCATGAAAAGTGGGTCTGCCTAGGGTATCTCCATTAACTCTGCCATTAACTATTCTTAGTAGTAGTAGTAGTAGTAGTAGTAGTAGTAGTAGTAGTAGTAGTAGTAGTAGTAGTAGTAGTAGTAGTAGTAGTAGTAGTAGTAGTAGTAGTAGTAGTAGTAGTAGTAGTAGTAGTAGTAGTAGTAGTAGTAGTAGTAGTAGTAGTAGTAGTAGTAGTAGTAGTAGTAGTAGTAGTAGTATAATATTATATGTATATTATTAAAACGCTGGACCGCCTGCAAGAGTTGTTGATCGCATCTGAGCGGCCAGGAATGTATTTGTTAATCATTATTGACACTTTGATTGTATTTTTATGATTTATATAATTCTTAATGTTATATACTGCTTAATTCTGACTTCAAACATTTCTGTAAATTATGCACATATTTTTAAAGTTGAATAAAACATTAGTAGTAGCACTAGTTTTTTTTTAGTAGTGAAAAAATTTTATTCACAACAATGCTGACTATATTAAAATCCTATTTACAATTAAGGTCTCGGTAAATGAAAATTTTAGTACATTGCTCGATTTTGTTTTTTTTTGGATTTTTGGCATGAGTGGGTCCTAAATTTTAATTTGGCAGAAAAAGAAAATCAGAAAGTGCTTTTTAACCCTTCTAAAATGAGCCTTTTCTGAGCTAACCAGCCAAGCGTGGACTTCGCGCTAAATCTTTAGAGCTGATTTTCTCTCACTCTATTTTAGACGCAAAAATCAAAATTCTCCGACCTCCAGTCGGGACAGGTTTTAAGGTATCGCTTTGAAACTTTCAGATATGATGGATAATGATATAGACTCAAAAAGGGTGTGAGGAATTTTCCGATTTCCCTTTGTAACTCATTTTATGTCAGTTTCTTTGCGTAGATCACGCTCGAGATTCGACTTTTTAGTTTGAAATGCAATAATTCCGCTAACACGAGACATCTGCAAATTTCCTCACACCCTTTTTTAGGTCTTTTATCTGTCAATCAGATGCAATAAAAAGGAAGTGAATATTTAACAACGCGAAAGGGCTGGAGCTTCAGCAGTAAACTCGATACCTCTGAGTTCGAGAACAAGAAACTTAAGCAGCTTTTGAAATTCGATGAAATAAAATCTTTTATAAGGTAATTTAGTCTTTTAGCTTTAATTTGATATGTAACTTGCCTTTGTAGCGAAAATACTCGCGCGACTAGAATTTTTTTCTGTGGGCACCTCGTTTTCCTTTACCGAGACCTTAATTCGCTTGAAAAAAAGAAAAAAACTATTCATTCAAAACGCTATTTACAATTCCTGTCGATTTAAAAAACACTTAATTTAGCTTAGAAAAAGTTAACTTAACTAAGAAAAATTTATTCGAATTAAAAACATTTCATTTCAATAAAAAAAAACTGTCAGCCTCTAAAATTCAAAAGTTTCTTTCAAATGTTTAAATAAAA